TACTCCTATGCAGTATTGTTTTGCTACTCTGCAAGTCATCCCTTATCTTAAAAATAAAATTGTTAATAAAAGAAAAACATCCCAGGGATTTATGGAAATACCTGCTTTATGGGATATGGGTGCAGACCTGAGTTCTCTGGCAGCCCATCTTGTCCATCCTTCCCAAATCGTACCTCATGCCAGATTCCCTATCTATAGCTATCACCCAACTGGAAAAGAGCTGATATACAGTGGGGTCTCGATTTACGAACTTAATCCGTATTGGAAGGTGGTTCTTAGGTTGAAAGGTTTGTAGGTCGAATCTGAAAACCATTTAATCTGTATCTGCTCTTTTCTGTCCATAGAAACTAATGGGAAGCTGCTATTCTGCCTTCTGCCACTAGAGGGGGATATTTTTTTCTTTTTTTCGCTTAGGTTCAGGAAACAAGGAGGAAGGCAGGGAACAGGTTGCAAAGCACTTTAGAAATCTTTTTTTTCAACGAAGCCAATTTAGAAATTGTAAAAGCCTCACCGCTAGAGTTATACCTTAGAAGTTACAATGCTTACTTAGCTTAGTTTTTAGTATTTCTTATTTAAATAAGGAATAGCAGCTTTATTTAACCATTGTAATTTTTGGATACTTTTTATGCTAATGCTTTTCCAAAACAACTGTTTCTATGAATCTCTATTTTCTTATACAGTGGTGTATAAGAAAATAGAGATGGCTTGATGCCGTTAATCCATTCCAGCAAAATCGCTGTAGAGCGAAATCATTGTCAAGCGGGGAAAAAACCAATTGAAACACATTTAAAAACAGTTAATACATTCCAATGGGCTAAATACCTAATCTCCTTATTTCCCCTATAAGGCAGGTTCGTAAGTTGAATTGTTCGCAAGTAGGGTCGTTCATAAGTCGAGACCCCACTGTATGCTCCTATAGCTCCTGTCATCCTAAATTACAAGAATTGGGTTTCAGAATGGTATGTCTTGGTGCATCAGAGACCTTCCCCAGCTTTTCTTTTGGAGAAGGACAAAATTTTTCAACATTATAAAATGAACCAAGAGTCTTGTATGCAAGCCATAACTCGCGCACAAGCGAACAGGCTCCCACAACCTCTGAGTGAGGTACCAGAGAGTCAAATGAAAAAAACAGCTGAGAAGATCTCAGAGCCTGCCCCACCTGGCTCAAGAAGAGGAAGCTGTAACACAGAAGCTAATTCTGTTACCTCAGAAATTGTAAAAGCCTCACCGCTAGAGTTATACCTTAGAAGTTACAATGCTTACTTAGCTTAGTTTTTAGTATTTCTTATTTAAATAAGGAATAGCAGCTTTATTTAACCATTGTAATTTTTGGATACTTTTTATGCTAATGCTTTTCCAAAACAACTGTTTCTATGAATCTCTATTTTCTTATACAGTGGTGTATAAGAAAATAGAGATGGCTTGATGCCGTTAATCCATTCCAGCAAAATCGCTGTAGAGCGAAATCATTGTCAAGCGGGGAAAAAACCAATTGAAACACATTTAAAAACAGTTAATACATTCCAATGGGCTAAATACCTAATCATCCAGCAAAGATCCTCCATAG